TTAATCAGTTTATGTCATAAATTCCACATTATTGTTCAATAAAAAATCCTTGCTCCATTCTGTCATGATTTAGTGAATTCCTGTTGGATAAATTAACCTCCCATTATACTTTTTTTCCGGAATATCCTGTTTGACTCGGAAATGCTTTACATTATGCAAGTAAACTTGCAAAAGATTATTCTGTACTTGGTGTTTGTTATACTGTAAGGTAATTGTTATGTGTTCTTTGTTCACAGGCTCTCTTGCACGAGCACTGCGGTTTGTTTTTTGTGCCTTTGTCGTTGGCTATGTTAAACGACGATTCTGCAACCTGTAAGAAAATGGTGGCTCTGGCCATCAAGTCTCTGCTGAATCAGCTGGATTTACAGCATCAAAATTCCATGTTTAACCTGGTTAACACCTGGCTTACTGGCGAGAAGGTGAGTAGGAAAACTAAAAGGTGAAAAGGTTCTGCTGAAATGTGTTTTGGTCTTAACGGTTTGCATCTTTGGGCTTTTGTAGCCGGCTCTGCGGCGACTCGGAGCTCAGGTTTGTGGGCTGTTTGTGGAAGTTGAAGGGGAAAAGTTCAACCGGAGACTGGACGTCCTAATACCTCTCATTGAGAAAGAGATCCACACTTCCAACTTTGAGGACGTGAGTGCAGAGGTTTACAGTATGTGGATGCATTTGTTTGAGTCTCTTTGCATTGATAATGACAATGATATGATTGATCAGATTGAGGAAGAGGAGGATGAGAAGGCTGCAGACAGACTGCTGTTCTGTTACCTCACGCTCATCGTCAAACTCGTCAAAGACTGTGGCTTTCTGGAGCTCCACAAACCTGCAGACCTGCTCAACAACATCTGGAGTATGAACACATACAGATAAATGAACATGGATAAAGTCAGTGTTGATAAACTTGAGGAACCTGAGATGCATCATGTGCTCTCTCTCTCTCCAGGTCATATTGATTCCCATCTACGTTACCCTCATTGTTGGGTCTGGCTGACGGCCTCTCAGATCTTTGGTTTGCTGTTTGCTGCTCATAAACCAGAGGAGCTCTTGGCCTTATGGAGCTCTCAGGAGAACATGAGTAAAACCACACAGCCTGTGGCCTGCGCTTTTCTCACTGACAACCTGTCTCAGAAGGCAAGAGCCCCGAGAACCTGCACTTCAAACGCTCATTTCATGAAGACAGACTGAATTAATGAATGCTTTGTTTCTAAACTGTTAGATGAGAGAGCTGGTCCTGTCCTTCTGTTACCAACTGCAGTCCAAGTTCTTGGATATTTCTGCTGGAGAGCAGGTATGAAATAATGAAAAAAAAAGTATGTTTGTTGTGTTTTAATTATATTTATGTAATAATATATATTGAATAATAATATATAATAATTTAACTAAACATTATGTAATTATTTTTAATAAAAATAAAATAAAATCAGAAAATGTTGATTATGTTAGTGAATTAATTTTAAAGTTTTAGCTGTTTTTTCTTATTTTAATTTGTTTTCTAGACTTTCTGGGGAGCTTTTAATAATCATATTTATTATATTAATATATTATGTACTTATTTAAATGAAATTATATTTCAATTATTTCATCAAATTATTAAATTTACATGAAATTATATTTGTTTTCATTTTCCTATTTTATTTATTTATTTAATTAAAAAAAAATTTTTTTTTTTTTTTC